CACACAGTCAAAACCACACAAATACAGTCATGAACACACACACACACACACACACACACACACACACAGTCAAAACCACACAAATACAGTCATGAACACACACACACACACACACACACACACACACACACACAGTCAAAACCACACAAACACAGTCATGAACGCGCACGCATGCACGCACGCACACACACACACACACACACACACACACACACACACACACACACACACACACACACACACACACACACACACTACCTGACTTAAGTCTTGTGGATGCAGTTTAACACGGGAATTCCACCTTCTGACACTTTTACAAATGATCAACTAGAAGACCAGTTATTATTTGCTGCTCTTACAGCTGATCCACCACAAGTCTACTGTCAGGCAGTGCATATCATGCCACAAACACAGTTCAGAACAATCAGGACAACTCTAACAGTATTTGTGACCTGTGAGCTCCGCCGTGTGCTCCTGTGGGATTCCCATCACCCTGTAGCAGGCCTCTATCTGCTGCGCCACCAGGGGTTTGGTGGGCGCCATGAAGACGATCTTGCCTGCGGGGAACCAGCGGTAGTAGTTGTACATCAGCACAGAGGCGATGAAGGTCTTCCCGAGGCCGGTGGGCAGGCAGACCAGTGTGTTCTGGAGCAGCGCCGCCTCACACACTCGCAGCTGGTACTCTCTCAGCGGCAGGTTGGTGGGGTAGATCCAGACACGGCCGGCGGAGTAGTCGAAGCCCAGATCCCCTGCACTGCGCTCGGCCTCGCACACCGCCACCAGCAACACATCATCATCATCATCATCATCATCTGCAGCAGCAGCGTACGGCTGAGTGGAGGAACATTACAGTTTACATTTAGCCATTAAGTCACCTATAGTTGAGGAGGCATTCAGCAACTCAACAAGAGGAGGCAATACACAGAACAAGAGCTGATCATACAGAGGCGAGCTGGACGTGACATCTGCAGTAAAAACCAGGGCTTGACATTAACTTTTTTGACCACCAGCCACTGTGGCTAGTAGCTTTCCAACATGACTAGCCACTCGCCATTTTCACTAGCCACAGTTTTATTGTTGGGAAACTATTTCATACACATAAATATGACTTTGACATGCTGAAATGACTTGATCTAGAATTTGTGTGATCTCTACATGCCTTCTCATTCATTGCACTTTCTGTGTGTCGTGTATGAGCTTGCTCAATAATCATGAGCAGATGGGTCAGGCTTTCATATATTACAATTAGTTTTCATAATGTTCAGAGCCCAAAATGAAGGATTTACCCCATTTATCTCTGACCACACCATAAATATACAGTTCATTATTTCTGAGCCACACATTTTAAATGTGTGAAACATGCAAAATATAGCTGAATACTACACTTTTTATTGAACAAAACATATGGACAGTCATATATCCTGGCTAAAGGTCCCAGATCACATAAATGGGGAGTTATTCTCCCAATAAAGCAATGTTATTGTAAAAAAAACTGATAATTAAACCATATTAATGCAAAAGAAAGCAGGTAAAAACATACTGTGTGATAATGAAAGGATGATCTCACACGCATGGTTAATGATTGACCCGTTAATTATCTGTTCAAAGAATGGTTAAACCGAAAGCAACTGGCGCTGCTTACAATAAGTCACCTCTGGAGCTGTGGAAAGCAGCAGGACTGTAGCTGCATGTTCCTCCCTTTATCAGTCTATTGGAAAGAGAACCGATCGCATCAGTTGTGTTTCTAGACACAGTTGCTTCACAAAAGTAAACGGGAGCGCGCACGCGTTATAAACAGTCGCACCAACTCAATCTCACGGCAATTCGTAACTTTTTCATTTAGTGGCTAATTCGTATGAATTCATACGATCTAATTTGTACAATTTAGTACGATTTGCGTATCCCCCAATGACGGTTGGGGTTAGGGGTGGGGTCAGGTGCCACGCCTCCTTTTTAAAATCGTACCATTTCATACGACTGAACTTGCACGAATTCGTACGAATTAGCCACTAAACTGGCAAAACGTAAAATACTTACGTTTTTTTCGTGAGATCAGGCTGGTCGCACACATACAGCTGTTAGCGCGAGTGATTATCCTCTCATTCGGTATTCACCTGCTTTGATCGCGCGAAGTTGCGAACGCAATTATTTTTGTCAGTCTTGTTGCTTCTCGATCGCCTGTGCGTGCATATTGGACCATCTTTATTGTTGAACCCTGCCTTAAAGAATTATTATCTGGAAAAATTATTTTCAACCAGCCAAAGTGGCTAGTGGGAGTGTCTGTCTTACCCGCCACCGCCGAAATCTACCCGCATTTGGCAGGTGTTAATGTAAAGCCCTGGTAAAAACCCAAAACATCAACTCACATAGAAAGTAGATTCTCCCTTCTGTGCATTTCTGTCTGATTTGTTTTATTTGGGCTAGAATAAAAGCAGTTTTTAATAGTTTTAAAGCCATTTTAAGGTCAATATTATTCGCCCCTTCAGCAATATTAGTGTTGGATTGTCTCCAGAACAAACCACTAGCCGCATTTCCACTGTCGGGCTAGTAGCTCGTAGTCACACAAACCCCGCCCCCAGAACACCCCAGAATCAAACGTCACAACCCGCCCACTTCAGCGGGAATCAGGCAGATAAGCAGACATTCACATCATCACCAAACCATTCAAATGAAGACAACCCAAACAAACTAATGACACGCTACTGTACAGCCGTACATGATATGTCTACACGCACAGGCCTGTATGTTCTTATTCATCATATTCATTTACTCGCCGACCAGAGAAACCCAGCGCAGTGAACACACATCCATAATATAACACTACAGAAATTCTCTGTTAAAAACTCGGTAAAAAATTTATTTCATAACATCCTCATTTAGACAGACACTGTCAAACACTCAGCCCAAATGCTGAGAGACCTGAAACATTAATTATTCCCTATAGGCTTTATGACACTCAACAGGTGATTCCCCTTGATTTAAGGATGCTGCATATCATGTCTTAAATAAAGGAAAGTGTTCAGTATTTCAGCACATAGGAGCAAGTAATAAAGGATAGCCTATATTGTGTTGCACTCAGCAGCTTTCACTAATAAAGCTCTTCATGTATTGAAGTTTCTTCTATTTTCTGCTTTCACTCACCCAAAAAATGCTGTTTGCATGATTTGATGAATATCATCACATCCAAATACTTTTCATTCATTTTCTTGTCGGCTTAGTCCCTTTATTAATCCGGGGTCACCACAGCAGAATGAACCGCCAACTTATCCAGCAAGTTTTTACGCAGCAGATGCTCTTCCAGCCGCAACCCATCTCTGGGAAACATCCACACACACACTCATACACTACGGACAATTTAGCCTACCCAATTCACCTGTACCGCATGTGTTTGGAGTGTGGGGGAAAGCGGAGCACCCGGTGGAAACCCACACAAAGGCAGGGAGAACATGCAAACTCCACACAGAAACACCAACTAAGCCGAGGCTCAACCCAGCGACCCTTTTTGCTGTGAGGCGACAACACTACCTACTGCGCCACTGTTTGGCCTATCCAAATACTTAATAAATAATATTTCAAACCTTCTCCAGGGTTTATTGTTTTTAGAACAGCTAAAACAGGCCTTTGGAAAATTATAGTTTAATATGGCTTTAAAACGGTTTAATTTATGCATTGTATATACCTAAACTGGTTTAGCTTTTGTTAGTTATATATTGGTTTATTTATTTAATGTGATTGTATTATATCTGATATTTGTAATTCTTTCAGTGTATATATTGGTTGATTTATTTAATGTGATTGAATTATATCTGATATTTGTAATTCTTTCAAATTATTTCAATATAGCTTAGGCTATTTTATCTAGATGTTTTGAGCCTACAAAAGTGGACACGAAATTTGTAAAGTTTAATGTCTTTCTGTTGTATTCAGATGGTGTATTGTCTTCAAAATAAGTAATAACAATAAAAAAGAAAAGAAAAAAGCCGCTCGCGGCATCAACAGCTGAAGGCTCTTTTCCTCGGTCTCACACACACATACAGGCATTTAAACGCGCACAAACACACATTTTATACTTGACAGAAACTCTGGAAAACCTTTACTGTCTGCTGTGTCTTTAATATGGTGTAAAGATTATTCTGCGTTATTGAAACATCGAGGAGGACGCAGCAAAGAACGTCACTAAAAATTAAAACTACTTTATTATTTTATGCAGCAGCCTTACATTTATAAGGGAAACATGAGGGCGATCATACGCAGAAGACCCCAGACTATAAGGCTAGATGTTTTCTTTCCGTTATTTATTCATGTGTTTGGCGCATGTACTCATGTGTGATCGGAAAACTGTCCGCCTTTCCTTTCACTCCATCCCGAAGCCCCAGTTGGCCCTCTTTGGCGGTCCGAAAAAGGCCAGCCGCTGGCCCCAAGAAAGCCCCGCTTTGGCCCGGTTAGGCCCCGGAAGTGACAGTGGAAACGCAACTGGCCTTGGCTCTCTCGCTTTAGGCGCGATAGTGGAAATGCGGCTATTGTTATTCAATGACTTGCCTAATTACCCTAACTTTACCCTAATTACCCTAGTGAAGCCTTTACATGTCACTTTCAGCTGAACACTAGTGTCTTGAAGAATATCTAGTCCAATAGTATGTGCTGTCATCATGGAGAAGAGAAAAGTAATCAGTTATTAGAAATGTGTTATTAACACTATTATGATCTCTAAAATATATTCGTTTTAAATGTCTGGGTAAAAAAACTAATGCCTTTTCCCCCTTTGAACACAATATATTTTAGTTTGAGACATGTTTATAATATTTTGGAGCAGTAAACATGTCCGGCTGAATAATGAAAATTAATTATCAACTCCTGCTGATTTCATTAGTTATAACACTGATTTCTTCACTAATTAAAACGGCATCTTTGGATTTATTTCCTGCTGGAGATCCTGTTGTCTTAAAAATAGCAAAAAACAAAAAAAGTAAAATTAATAATCTTGCATAAACCATAACAGTATAGCAGAAAATGATGGCGGTTTTATAACCTTGACTTTTGCAAACCGCAGTAAACCATGGTAAACGGTTATCGTCCCATGCCAATACACAACCCAAAAGAAATAATGCTAATCAAGAGGATAAGAGCCGGCTCACTGTAGAACAGAGATGAGTGACTTTATTTGATTTCACACGTTTGCTTTTATGAGCAGAAAGCTTGCTTATGGATGTGGCAGATGTGAAATTGGCACTAGTGTGACTTTGGTTAATCAAATGTAAAGGTTTGAACATGACATTTGGAGTATTTTTGCAGTGCTGTAAAGTGCAAACTACACACCATACTTAGGAAGGGGTTTCACTACTTCGGTAAAAACCTACATTTTTGGTAACACTTTAATTTGATGGTGCATTTGAGTATTAGTAGACTGTCTGCTTAATATCTGCTGATTTAACAGACTGCAAGTACATGTTAACTAACACTAACCCCAACCTAACAGTTTACCTATAATCTAATGACAATTAGTTGTCCTGTAGATGCAATATAACTTAAATTCAACCATCAAAATAAAGTCTGATCAAGTTTTTTTCATGGCAAGGTTGACATCTGCATGGAATTGCTCACCTACATTTAGCAGATGCTTCTGTTCAACCGACTTACAATTGAGGAGGCATTCAGTGATTCAACAAGAGGCAATACACATGAGTGCAGATTACATAAAGAAACTGAGCTCAGAGAATCTAGTGCTAGAGTAAGACGGGAGAGTGTTTTCTACAGGTGCTTTGAATGCACAATATTTGTGCAGTGTTTGTTCGTTTTTTAGATTTAATCATTATTAAAATGTGTCTGGTGCAAAATGTGCAAAATAAACTGTGCAAATGTAGGTTAAAGTG